AGGTCATACAAGAGCTACCAGCACAAACACAGAACTAAATATTAAAATAACACCAAATAACTTATTGGGTACAGAACGTAAAATAGTAAAAGCAAACAAAAAATATCATTCAGGAACAACATGGGCAGGACTAGCTATAGAATCAGACTCCACAAAAATCATAGGATCACTCAAATTAAAAGAAAAATACAAACTAAACAAAAATAAAAAAAATAAAAAATAATATCAAAAGAATCCTTTAATCAAAATCTAGGAAAAAAGTGAATTTTATCATAATCACCATGACAATATAAACTAGAACTAGATCCAGTAAAATGCAAAAAAAATAAATGAACGATAATTAAAATTATCAAAGATCAAGGTAAAATAAAATGAATAGAATAAAAAAATTTCAAAGTATTTTCACAAACACTAAAACTACCCCAAATTCATCAAACCAAATATTTACCCAAATAAGGAATAGACGTTATCAAACTAGTAATAACTACAGCAGCTCAATACCTCATTTGACCTCAAATTAAAACATAGCCAGTAAAAGCAATCCCCATCAATAAAAAATAAATACAAACACCACTTAATCAAACACCAATAAGACGATAACTTCCATAAATCAAACCTTTAAAAATATGTATATAAATAAATAAAAAAAACATAGAAGCACCATTAGAGTGCATAATACGAATAAGTCAACCAAAATTAACCTCAAATATAATATACTGAACAGTACTAAAAGCATCACCAGCAGTATAATAAAAAGTTAAAAAAAACCAGTAATAATTTGAGATATTAATATAATACCAAGCATACTACCAAAATTCCACATATATCTTAAAGTAAAACTAGCTGGTAAAAAAACTAAAGAATTAAAAACTATATTAAAAATCTTGGAAAAAATCTTCTAACCCAAAAAAAGAAATTTTAATTAAACTAAATCCAAAAAAAATATATCTCTTCCTGAACCGTAATCAGACATAGTTAATCTATTTAATATTCCTATAAACCACGCATAAAACAATCACTACCAAAATTAAATCTAACTAAAATCAACAATAAAAATAAAATAAAAATAATTCAAAAAACATAATAATATCTAAAATCATAATAAATAGACAAAAAATTAAAATCAAAATAAACAGAAAAAAAATCATAATCAAAACAAAACAAAAAAAACAAACAAAAAAAACTAATAAATAAAAATAATTATAATTATAAAAAAAATAAAATTAGATATACTACAAAAATAAGTCAACAAAGAAAAAATACCACTCAAAAATAACAAAATAATAAAATAAGAATACCAAATATGGAACCCAAAGAAATATAACAACTCATAAACAAAATACCTAAACATATCATAATACAACTCTTCAATGGATCTCAATCCAAAAAACTCAAACTAAAAAATAAAAAAGCAAAAAAAATACTAATATAAAAAAAGTAAAACAAATAAAATTAAAAATCCAAAATTTAAAAATCATAAAATTTCAAATAGAATAATATCTTTAGTTTTGAAAACTAAAAGTTTATAATTAACCTAAATCTACACTTTCTATAATAACCATAACCAACACGACGATAACTATAAGAAGGAGTATTATTATTCAACACCTTTCAATGAACACCAACATTTAAACATTCTTCAACAAAAGAATCTGGCAAAGGAGGAACATTACTAACATAAGCAGGACTATGACCGTTATAAAAAGAAATACCCAAATAACGAGAAAAAAAAATAGAATCAACTAACAAATAATTAAATAAAATAAAACCAATAAAAGTAATAACAGACCCAATAGAAGAAACAATCTGAAATATAGAATAACAATCAGGATAATCCAAAATCTTACGAGGCATACCCTGTATACCAGCAAAATGCATAGGAAAAAAGTTATATTAGTACCAATAAAAAAACATAAAAATACAGCAATTATTATAGTACCATCAAAAGAAACACCATACATATAAGGCAATCACAAACAAAAACCACAAAAAATACCATAAACAGCACCAAGACTCAAAGTATAATGAAAATGAGCCACAACATAATAAGTATCATGTAAAACAACATCTAAACTAGCAGCACTTAAAATAATACCTCTTAAACCACCAACAGTAAAAAGAAAAATAAAACTATAAGTCCAACATCACAAAGGCTGAAATTTCTGGTTGGTGCCAAAAAAAGTACCTAATCAATTAAAAACCTTAACAGCTCTAGGAATAGCAATAATCATAGTAGCAGCACTAAAATAAGTACGAGTATCAATATCAAGACCAGCAGTATATATATGATGACCTCAAACAGAAGTACCCAAAACAGCAATTCAAATAGAAGCAAAAGTTATACTAGTTTGACCAAATAAACGATCCTTATCAGTCAAAAACAAAACAGCCTCACTAATAATCCCAAAAACAGGCAAAATAATGACATAAACCTCAGGATGACCAAAAAATCAAAATAAATGCTGATAAAGTAAAGGATTTCCTCCCTTCTTAGTATCATAAAAAGAAGTATTAAAATTACGATCAAACAACAAAAATAAAAGAGAACCAGCCAAAACAGGAACAGACAATAACAACAAAAAAGAAGTTAAATAAGAAGTTCAAACAAATATACTAATCTGATCTAATGTAACAGCAATAGAACGCATATTCTGAACTGTAACTATAAAATTAATAGAACCTAATAAAGACCCAATACCAACAGTATGCAAACCTAAAATTATAACATCCAAAGATATCTCAGGTTGACCTTCAATCCTTAAAGGAGGATAAAAAGTTCAACTACTACCAGGTCCTCCTCCAATAAAAAAAGACTGATAAACCATTAACAAAGCTACAAAAGTAAATCAAAAAGACAAAGCATTCAAACGAGGAAAAGCCATTTCAGGAGAACCTAACATAATAGGCAACATCCAATTACCAAAACCACCAATCAAAATAGGCATAACAACAAAAAAAATCATCAAAAACACCAT